ACCAATACGTATTCATTCTGGCATAATAAGCAGAAAATTGTGTTATTACCTTCCCCAGTAAAAACAGTAAGTGAGACGTCCATGTCAACCATGTGTAACAGAAATATGTTTATGCAAGAAATGAGGATAGCACCGCATGGACTCTTCCTTCTTGTGTTGGAAGAAAACCATCCTCAGTCAATAGTGCCTGAAATACTTCAACCGATACTTCAACTGTATGCTGATGTGTTAGTGCAAGAAGTTCCTGCTGGACTGCCGCCCTTGAGGGATATCCAACATCAGATCGAGCTCATACCTGGATCAGTCCTTCCCAATCGGCCAGCATACCGGATCCGTCCTGATGAACATTTAGAGCTGCAACGTCAAGTAGCTGAACTGATTGCAAAAGGATTCATTCGTCCCAGTGCCAGTCCGTGTGCGGTTCCCACTCTCTTGGTTCCGAAGAAGGATGGGACTTTTCGTATGTGTATCGACAGTCGCTCTATTAATAAAATCACGATAAAGTATCGATTCCTGATTCCAAGGGTAGACGATCTCTTCGATCAACTTCATGGAGCTGTAATTTTTTCCAAAATTGACTTGAGGAGTGGATACCACCAAATCCGGGTGCGACCAGGAGACGAGTGGAAGACCGCGTTTAAAACGCGAGAGGGTTTATATGAATGGACAGTGATGCCATTCGGTCTCTCAAACGCACCTAGTACCTTTATGCGATTGATGAATCAAGTGTTTCAACCACTTCTGAATAAGTGTGTGGTTGTATACTTCGACGACATCCTTGTGTACAGTTCCACGGTGGAAGAGCACCTTTCACATTTGAAAAATGTATTTAACATTCTTCGTGAACAACAACTGTTTGCCAACCCACTGAAGTGTCATTACATGACAGATAAAATTTCATTTCTGGGATTCATCATTTCACCACAAGGCGTGGAAGCTGATCCTGTGAAGATTGATGCAATTGTTCACTGGCCAACACCTCAATCGGCTACGGAAGTTCGCCAGTTTCATGGCTGAGCTTCCTTCTACAGGCGGTTCATTCAAAATTTTAGTTCTATAGCAGCTCCCCTCACTGAGTTACTCAAAACTGAGAAATTTCAGTGGACTCCAACTGCTGAAATTAGTTTTGAACAGCTTAAGCAAGCTGTTTCGACAGCTCCTGTTCTGGCATTACCAGATTTCAAGGAGATATTTGAGCTAGATTTTGATGCATCTAACTTGGGAATTGGCGCAGTGCTTAGTCAAAGAGGCCATCCCATTGCCTTTTTTAGCGAGAAATTCAGTGATGCTCGGAGGAAGTACTCAGTTTATGACAAAGAGTTTTATGCAAATTTTCAAGCTTTACACCATTGGGATCATTACCTTCTACCCCATGAGTTCATTCTATTCTCCGATCACGAGGCCTTACGCTTCCTGAATTGCCAAAAGAAATTAAATGGTCATCATGCTGCTTGGGTAGAGTATTTGAGTGCCTTTCATTTCGTTCTAAAGCACAAGTCAGGGAAGTGCAATCAAGTTGCTGACGCCCTTAGTCGTCGTCTGATCTTAATTCAAACATTGCAAGCCAAAGTTACAGGGTTTGATTTGCTCAGCGAATTATATCCGAAAGATCCTGATTTTGGAGTTTTGTGGAGCAAATGCCAGAACGGTCCATATCAGTTATATCACAGAGAACATGATCAACTCTTTTATGGCAATAAACTATGTATTCCGCAAGGTTCTACAAGACTCGTTCTCATCAGTGAAAGCCACGAAGCAGGTATCGCAGGGCATTTCGGGAGAGATAAAACTCTTGCTTTAGTCAAAGAGCATTTCTTTTGGCCACTCCTTGCTCGGGATGTAGACAGATTTGTAAAACGCTGTCGAGTTTGTATAGTAGCTAAGACTCATGGACAGAAGCTGGGGTTGTATACGCCCTTACCAGTACCTGAAGGACCTTGGGTTGAAGTCAGTATCGACTTTGTGCTTGGCTTACCGCGTACACAAAGGAACAAGGATTCAATTATGGTCGTGGTGGACCGATTTTCCAAGATGGTTCATTTTGTACCATGTAACAAAACATTAGATGCAACTCATGTCGTCGATTTATATTTCAAAGAAGTGGTGCGCCTACACGGTATACCGAAGACCATCACCTCTGATCGTGACGTCAAATTTCTAAGTCATTTTTGGAAGACCTTGTGGGGAAAATTAGGTACCAAGCTTCAATTCAGTTCTACCGCCCATCCCCAAACGGATGGACAAACGGAAACTGTCAACAGGAGTCTGGGCAATCTACTCCGGTGTTTTGTGGGCAAAAATCAGAGACAATGGGATCTAATTCTGCCACAAATTGAATTTTCTTTCAATAGATCAGTGAATCAGGCTACCGGACATACTCCCTTTTAGGTAGCTTACGGTCATAACCCCTTAACTCCTACTGTTTTAATTCCCCAGGTATGCCAGGAACAATTTAGCACCGATGGAGCTCAAAGGACCAAGGAGATACAACGATTGCACAAAAAAGTACAAGAGCTCATTCAGAAGCATAACCAGAAGTGTCAAACGGCTGCAAACAAATCTCGGCGAGACGTTCAATTCAAGGAAGGCGATCAAGTCTGGATCCGACTTCGAAAAGAGCGGTTTCCCGTTGGTGCCTTCAGTAAACTTAAGCCGAAAGCTGATGGTCCATTTAGAATCATCAAGAAAATCAACAACAATGCATATCAACTTGCTCTTCCTGGTGATTATAACATATCGGCCACCTTTAACGTAGCTGATCTATCACCTTATTTTGAACCTGAAGTTTCTTCTACCCCGGGAGAATGACGCCGGGCTATATACACACGTCACAGTCGTTATTCCAGCTACACAACTTCAGTAGTTACGTTATATTTTTTTTAGTTTCTTTCCCTCTGTATTGCCTTTAGTATACCTGTCGTTTGTATAAATACTAGTAGTCATTGATTAATAAGCAGGTTGATTGTTTTGGAATTATATTTCCTTTTCTTGGTAATGCTTCTGTATCCTGGCAACCGTCAGGTGGTGAATTAAGCATTGTTCGTCTGTATCCTGAAGACTCCAACGACGGTACCCTGTGTTTGCCTTGGGTCCGTTATTTGCTTCCTTTCAGGTGGTGGTGTTCTGAGATGCTTCTTGATTTAAAGAAGACGACGTATCTGACTGTGAATTGATACAGTGAGGCGTACGATTGAATTATCAATTGTATCACTTCGTTGTTCAAGACCGCGACGTTATTTTTGTCCCAGTCCAGTGTCAAGTTGAATATATTATAGTTTCATCAGCAACATGTTTTGGATGAGAAGAATATCATAAGATTTTCAACAACCTCAATTAAAGACGACTTATATATATTGTGATAACAAAGCCACAATATCTATGACAAAAAATCTGGTGTTTCATGGTAGATCGAAGCATATAGAACTCCGACATCATTTTGTAAGAGAATTTGTGAAAAAAGGAACCACTGCAATCAAGTATTGTTCTACTGAAGATCAAGTTGCTGATGAATTCACAAAAGCTTTCAATTTTCAAAAATTTGAGAGATTTCAATCAAATCTTGGTATACAAATTTTGTATTAAGGGGATGTGTTATAAATTAATGCAAAAATAGTTATCATTAGCGTTATTAAAACTTAAACCGTTGTATTAGTGAAAAGGTGTCATTTGTGTCATATGATTTTTTAGTTCTTTCTTTATTTAAAACTTTTATTGTCCGTGGATGCATATATGAGAAGAAAAAAATTGTATCTTACAGTTCTACTGTTTGTGAAAAGTTTATTAAGAAGATTTTTGTTTTCCAATTTTTTCCAACACTTGGCTAAGTCAGTATTTTGTTCGCAACAGGATGCAATTATTATTTTCTCATGCTTTTAAAAAAAAATGTTTATCTACTTAGGTAGGTCACGGGAAATAAGTTTATGACAAGGTTAATTAAGTCTTTGTCACTTCTGTATATCATAGTCCAATTATTTTATTTAAAAAACACATTTTTTTATTATTGTTTTTATTTTAAGATAATAAAATTACTTTAAATTTCGATACTACTCAATTATCTAACTTTTCTTATACTTCATCAAATAATTTTTTTTATTATTTTCTCATGCTTTTAAAAAAAATTTATGATGATTTTTTTTTTTTGCAACCAAAATAATTAAATTATTTTTTTCTAATAATTTTACAATCAAATTACAAAGCACTAGACATTCCAATTAGAAACTATGACTTAGTTCGGAACGGCTTTTTCATTGCTTTCTAAAACAGAATTTTAATACAAAAATAACAAAATTTGTATTAAAACTCAGTTTTAGGCAATAAAAAAGGTGTCCCAAACGAAGCCTAAGACATCATTTGCTATGATTTCATCCTTCACCAAGAAGTTGTAGCTTTATGTGATCATCATTCGAGCTTTCCATAATAACAATACATAAATAAATTAGAAATTAAAGTACGGTATTGATGAAAACTATTATTTTTTTAATTTATTTAATTTAACATTGAGATCACATAGTTATCAGTGAACATGACCAAATTACTATTCAAGGATTTTGACTCTATTCTATAAATAGAATCTTTTATGGGGAATGAATTATATTTAAGCATCACGGAGCTTCTAACTTGTAATTTCTTTATTCTTGTTCTATACTTCTTCTGAGCAGATGGTCGCTTTGTTTATCAAACGCTCAAGTTAATTTCCACGAACTCCAATTTCAAATTCGCTCAATTTCTTTCAGGAAGATTAGCAACTTGAAATTTATTAGAAATTTTTATGACTTAAAAGATAATAAATTCACTATTACGAAGTTCTATTTAATTATTATGCCTAGCTTTGGACTTCTATTTCTAAAAACAATTTCATTATACACAAAGATACCCATACATCTCATTTTTTTTTTCTAAATAATGCATATGCTATCACTATTAAGGCTTAGTTTGGACGGCTTTTACTGTTTCTTAAAGAAATTTAAGTAAAAATTTACTTTAAGAAGCCATAAAAAAGTCATCACAAAGAAAACCTAAGTTTAGGAGCAGAAAGTCCAAATCTGGCTAGCAAGTACTTGCACACTGCACACACATTTCCAGTATTTTTTTTTCTAGTTCCTAATCCCACACCAAACCAAGCAAGAAAAGAACAATCTTGCTGCATATGCAAATAACATCTAGCAAAACAAAATATCACAGAAGATCACCCATTCTCAGCGCCGGCGGTGTGGAAGAGTGTCGGCGAGGCGAGAAACAAGGTAAAGTGCGTTGCACGTGACCCTCCGAGCCTCCGACACGTGGGCCGATACGGAGCGGTGAGTGGAAGCAGGAAGCCGGCGGATGGCGTCGAGGCACGTGTCGTCGTCGGTGAGTGCAGCGCTGGCCCACGTCAAGGCGTTATCGAGATGCCAGCGCGAGTTTTCTTGCCGGAGGTGGCGGATCTCGGCAGCGGCGCGGGCTAGCTGGTCGCTGGAGTCGGAGAGCTGCTCGACACAGTCGCGGACGGCTGGCGGGGGAGGAGAGGGGAAGTGACGGAGGAAGGAGTGGGCATTTTGAGCAGAGGTTGCAGCGGCGGAGACTGCGTCGACGGCAAGCGCGGTGGGTGTGCGGGCGGCGGAAGGGGAGAGGGTGCGGATGCAAAGAGAGGGATAGCGGGCGTGGGCGCAGGAGGAGAGGACTAGTGAGGAAGGAGGGAAGGCGGCGGAGGAGGTGATGGGAATGAGGAAGAGAGGAAACAGGTGGAGAAGGGAAAGCACGGCCATTGAAGCAAGGCTGAGTGAAGGTTTAGGAGTGTGAGGAGAAAGTAATGGCTGGGCAGACTTATTATGTTGGAAGTTGGAAGCAATTGGCCTCCTATATTGAAGTAATTACCATAACGCCATTAGTCTCTGCAAGATTTTTTTTTTAATTATCTCGAATATAAAAATAATATAAATTCTTCATTTATATTATATTAATCTTAAAATATATTTAATTATTTTTAAGACATCTTAATTAAAATTATATTAAAATATACTTAAATAATTTTCCATTTTCAAAATCACATCGAGCTATCCACAATGTTAAGTGAAGCTTCAAATTTAACAACTATAATTTCAACTTTATTTAATTAAAGTATTTTTTATCTTTCATATTTAATTATTAAATTTAAATGATCTAATCAGGACTGAATTGACTCCAAATTAAATGATTCTCACTCAAATTCAATGAGTATCTAGTAAAGATAGATTTAAAAAATTCAATTTTTTTAAAAAATAATATAATATTTAATTTATTAATTATTCATAGATGATATTAATTTTTTATAAATTAAAAATAATAAAAAAAAACTATTATAAAGTGTGAGAGTAGCATACATTGGCCATTTTTTTTGACGGTTCAAAAAAAATTATACTAAAAATTTGCTTTAGAAATAATAAAAAAATTGTCACAAAAGAATTCTTAGTAATTAGGGATGCAAATTAGTCGAGTTGAGTAGTGGCCTTATCGAGCTCAGTTTATAAGATATATAGTCGGCTCAAACTCAAGCTCGAGCTCGAGTCGAGCTCAAAAGGTGAGCTCGAACTCAAGCTCATCCCACAGTAAACGAGCTCAAGCCGGCTCGCAAGCCTCGGTGGAATTTTTAAAATATTGGCGGAATTTTTTTAAAATTTTAGCTGGAATTAAAAATTTCTAAATTTAGTAAATATATTTAGCCTTTATTATTAATTTTTTAAATATTTAAATTTAATAAATAAAATAAAATTATGTTTAAAATATTTCTAATTATTTGAGTCTGCTTGTGAGCTCACGAGCCAAGCCTCATCAAGCTAAAACTCGACTCGTGAGCTTGATAAGCCCGGCTTGCGACCCCATAAAAGAGTCGAACTTGAGCCGGCTCGACCCACTTACACCCCAACTTTGTATAATTTTTTAAAGGATTTATGGCCTTTTTTTTAATAAATGAATTTGTTCCACAAATTTTATGAGTTATTAATCATCATTCTCAAAAAACAAAAAATAATCTGATTTTAAAAAATAGAGATAATAGTAAGGCGCAATATTAGTTACAAATATATAATTAGCTATAATTCAGTAAAATAAAATCTTAAATTAAACTCGAATTTATTTTTCAACCCAAATGAAGTTAAGGAGCACCGCTTTTGAATAGTACCTAACTTTCTTTGAAATAATTCATAGATAACGATATAGTCGACTTCTACTTTTCTGTTGAAGGGACAAAAGGATGGGGGAAAGCCCCTCTCAAAGCCACGTGAATGAGCAGTCGAAAGGAGGAAGAAACGAAGGTCCACCATGTGCCGCCGATGTCCTCTTAAAAAGCATTCAATTAATACAATTACCTCATAGAGGAAGAAGGATGTGAAGAGGCGGGTTAGTTCTTTGTTGGGAGTTAGTACTATGTACTATATGAGAAACCAAGCATTGAATTACTTTGGTCGGCAATGAATTCATACGATATCCCATTTTCATGTGCCTTAGGTCAATGCCTAAATGGACAATTCACACACATGTCTGTGTGGACATCGAACTCCGTTCGTAGACCAATCAGAATGCGCCATGTCACCCTGTACTCGGTACCGTAGTTCGGTACTGCTCGATACCACTGACGTACGAGCATACTGGTTAGTCTCCGGACGATATTCTTGTAACTAAAAAAGTGATTTGAATTTTAGCTTTAAAGTTTGAGGTTACCTATTCTATTGGTTTTGATTCATCAACATTCCTAAGACTATTTCAGGTATTTTTTGTTTAGTTTTTAACAATGGCTTCATTAATATAATGTTTCATATTTTCTTTGGAGTTGTGCTATTAAACCTAAGAATGTGAGGTCTCAATCTTATTTCTTCATCTAATCATAACACAAATTGCAAAATGAAAAGAAAATGATGGGTGTGAATCGAAGTTAGTTTGTTAAAATTGTGACGGTTCTCTAATTGTTGTTTTATTGAAAAACTATGGCATTTAATGCCCAGCCTGGAAAGGCCTTATTGCTATATACCGTTTTTATGCGTAATTAAATTTATTGTGATTGATTATCAATTGGTATGAATCTCGATGTGAAAGTGGAATTAATTTTTTTAAAAATTAAATTCATTATCATTCGAACTCTAATTTTAACAAATTTATAATTAAATTGAATATCTCTTCAAAATAATCTCAATAGTACACATGGGCGGATCCAACTTCTTTTTTCACAGTGGTAAAAAAAAAAATTTAGTGGGGGATGAGCAAAGATGTTTATGATTGATAAAATTAGGGCAAAATGCCCATATTGAATATAACAAAATCAAGTTCATTCAATTCATCGATCATTAAAGCATTTAAATGCTAAAAGAATCTATGATTAAGTAAATCAATATGGGTCATCCAATGATGTATTAGGGATTATAGCTAGTATAACTAAAATACTACTCTTTAAAATTATAAATATACTCATATTGTATACACATAGGAGGCATTAATTTAGGTTGGAGAAAACTTTTAGACATGAAGAACTCTGAAGTTTTACTCGATATTCAATATTGACAATTGCCGTCAACAACCACCATAATTTCTCCACTTCTATTCATTTGTTGTCACTGAATTACAATAACTCATTTTCCTTAGTTCGATCATTATTAACTAACTATCATCATTTGACTATCATTATTCAACCACTGCTGTTCTACAACTAATGCCTCGTTAAAATCATCTAACATTTATCATGGTCCTCCTTTACTTCTCTAACATACTCTACCACAATTACATAAGATCAAGCTTGAGTCCTTAATTTATAATTTAAACTTCTTAAATTAAGCAGAATTGTAATTCTTTATAATGTTATTTATATAGTTAATTATTCATTCGAGGCAAGCCCTGCGGCATTTTCTCTTACAAAATTTTTCATAAAAAATATTATGCGTCTATTGCATTCCGCTTTTTTATATGCGTACATATTCAAAATCTTTAATCAAAATTATGATGCTAAGTTTTCTCTTTATCAGCACGCAAATTTTCAAAAATACAATAATAATATTAAAGATGGTTTAAAAATATATCTCCATTTTTTTGGTCCATGGATGGAAGGCAACTATTTATGGGATTTCTTACGTGCCCTTACAAACGATTTTTTTTTTTTTTTCATGTGAACGCACTATGCATTACTTTGAGTCTTTGACTGAGGCTTGATTTGGATAATATTTTACAGTTTTTTAAAGTAGTTTTTTGTATAATTTTTTTTAAAATTAAAAATTTTTTGTAATAAAAAGTTATTTTAGAAATCAATAAAAAAGTTATCCCAAATAAAGTCTAATTTATGACGCTCATATTTGTCTGTCAGTTGTGAGCTTTTGCTATCAACTAAGAAGTCTTGAGTTTGAATCTCCCTTATGTGATGTGTGTATAAGTGTGTCTTAATTGTCTTAAATATTCTTAAAAAAAAAAAAAACAAAAACAAAGCCTACATTTAAATCTAACAAACATACTAGTAGAAATAAAAAAATTCAGCCTGCTAGTTTGAACTTATAATTGAGAGCAAAGCACTGGAACTCTTTTATATTTTTATTAGAGAAATATAAATCACACAGACGGACACTTACACCAATGTTTTTTTTTTTTCAAAACAAAACTAACATATTAATAAAATCAGAAAGGGTTACATAAGAAAATGAGCAAAATTAAAAGAGAAAAAAGACAAAATACAATCAAATTAAGACTCAGTAATCAGCCGAGGCTCCCAGCATCCCTGAAGCCTCGCACGGACCATCCAGTAAGGTGAATAAAGCGCCCAAAAACCCACCAACTCGAGGAATATCACCAAAGGTTGCCACCAGCAAGATGACGAGGACACGAGCCTCAGCCACATTATAGTCCATAAACCATCGCATCTCCAAAAAGACCAAAAAAACCAGTAAAATAATCCCATTGAAACAGAAAAAGGCAACAAGAACAGAATAAAAAAAATTATCTTCTTCTCCGGCCCCTCCCATGCAATCTTCCACGAGAAGCAACCGAGATCACAGGTCTATCACGAACCAAAGTGAATTCGTTTCCAGGGTCAGATCTACCATAAAAATCCAGAGAGGCCAAATCACAATCCAAAAATTCGGATTCAGATTCAAATTCAGACGAGTCATGCAGCCAATTCACATGGTTCATAATATAAAAACCAGAATTAACACCCAACCGATTGGCCATAGTGTGCGTGTCGACCAAGTTTACAGTGACATCAACAAAAGTGTTAGAACACACCGAATTTCCAATCATAGTATCACTACAGGAAAAACACTGAAAACCGGCGGTTTTTTCCGGCGGTTAGTGTAGATTTACCGGCGGTTTTTAACGTTACCGGCGGTCTAACGGCGGTTTGTTAACCGCCGGTAAAAACGGCGTAGGAAACCATTTCCGACGGCTTTTTACCGGCGGTTAATTTTGTGCGGCGGTTTTCCGGCGGCCAATACCGCCGGTGACCACCGGAATTTTAACCGTCGGTCTTCCGGCGGTTAGGCCGCCGGTATTGTAACCGCCGGAAAACCGCCCGGCGGTTGTCCGGCGGTTAAAC